CATCCCTATGGATGTGTCCCGGCCCCAGTGCAGAGCGTTGACTAAAGTGAGATTGGTATGTCTTCTCATGTGCTCAGTTATATGATTCCCTGAAGCCATTTCAAAATTGTTTTGTCCATATGACCAAAAAATTAGTTAAGAGTCCAGGCTTTGTTTTGCAGTTCTCACCTGCTCTAGACACTGTGTCAGTCCTTTTGTTCCTTCACTATGACGTAACAGATTTATGGGCATTTCTGTCACTTTACTTTCAGTGTTTTGTTTTCCCCGCCTGGTAGCAACAACAACAAGCCTTGCTTCGCTTCAGGTGTCTGATCCACCCTCCTCTCCCCACCCCTGCCCTGGCCTTTAGATAGTTGACTTTATTGCTTTCTGATTAATCTATGTATCTTATTTTTTTTTGTCTTTTTCCTTTTCTATGTATCTTATTATTTACCCTTTGTTATGGGCTAGCTCTAACAAATGCGTGTCTGTCCTGTTCTGTATGCGCCGTATTCGATAGGATTAAATTTCCATTTCCAGAAAAGACTTAAGTCTCAGCTTCTTGTAAATCCCCCCCAACTCCCCTTCCGTATGTTTCTGCAAGGTGTGCTGTTTCCGGGAAAATGCAGAGAGCAATGGAATGTACCAAGAATCCCAGAAGTTAATAGGTCAACAGCTTTGCAGGTTTTTAGCTGTAAAAACCCGCCCTTAGTCTGTTGCGTGCAGTCTTCCATATTGGCTACCGGAGGCTGCGTCCCCAGGCCTGGAAATAAAGCCTTTGCTCCAAATTTCTTAATTTCTCACTTCTTTGGATTTATTCCGGGGTCCGAGCTATCACACCTTCTTCCCTGCATCCATGAAAGTAGTATGGCGGTTTGCACTTTGCTCTTTCTTAATTTAACAGCTTCATCTGGAAACTGTTCCCATCACTTACGAGGCTCCTTCCTCCCTGCTCTGCTGCTGCACACCCGTACTCCGGCGAGGCTGTAGGTGTACAGATCTCCCAGCCCTGGACTCTGCATTTGGGAAAAGCACTTTTGGAGGCGAGTGTGGGAAATGGTTTCGCACTGATGGTCGAGGGGCCCTCGAAAAATGAACATCCTCAAAGCTACAAAGTAAAGGAAAGAGACATATTCCCTCACTTGCCTTCTTTCTTTCTTTCTTTTTTTTATTTGGGGCAGATTGTAAATTCTTATTGAAAGAATCTTGCCCTAGACGGGACACTGTAGCCGGTAAAGCCTTGGAGGCGGAACCAAGGGCTCTATCTTCCCCACCCCTAGGAATTTACCTGAGGCAGACCCCTTAGGCTCCACCCCAAACCTAAGCTACCTGTATGCCCCCACTCCACGTGTTCCACGGAGAGAATGCCAGCCCCTGGAGACAATGCCAGACCTCGGAGGGTCGGGGGATCTCTCCCCACATTCTTAAAATAAAGGTCATTTATATTTCATACTTCTTATCTTTTCAGTCACGCCACAATCCTATCACTTATTACTTAGGGATCTTATTGTTTAGAAGAATTTGTATTTTCTTGCTGTAGGTGAAGACTCACAACACAGTGATCCAATTAAAACATTATTCTCAAACAGTATTTTGCAAATATCTTACTAGGCCTTCCTCTTCCAGCCTCACTCAGATCTGTCCATGAAATCTCACTGCATAAACTTTACAATTTAATGCATTTCACTTCCTGCTCATATTTTAATTCATTTTATATTTAACTTTTCTGTTTCTTTTTTTTTCCATAAAGTCCTCATAAATCCAGTGTGTGTGTGTGTGTGTGTGTGTGTGTGTGGAGATAAAATTGTGCTTTCATAATTATTGCCCCGTTGCTGTAAAGCGGAGCTCATGAGCATTCTATCCACTTGATGCACACTAAGAATCATGCAGAGGACTGCACAGAAGAGTGGCAGTGGGCAGGAGACTCCTGCCAAGCACGTGTATAGCACAGCCCTTGGACAGAATTAAAGATTCTACTTGTCCTTCTAATGCAAAGAAAACATAAAGCCATAGCACACCAGAGATCTGTGTGCATTCCATTCACTAGAAAATATAATGCCGATCCATTGGAAATTAGTGGTAAATTTGGCAGCTCTTCCCAAGTAAGAAAGAGTGAGATTTGCCTTCCTTTTGAAATGCGCAGGGCAGGTATGGCAGGAGAAGACGGGGCAAAAACCATGCATAATACACTTGCAGAGAATCAGAGGTAGTGCATGTTTAGAGAGGCGTTGAGCATCTGTCAGTGATTTTCTTAGTGATACTTTTGTCTGCCATCCCAGAAAAACACGAAAATGCTATTTTTTGTCTGTCTGATTAGGGTGAGGCATACAACAAATCAAGTTTTTGAAGTTTAAATGTTGTAAGTTTCTTACAGTAAAGGGCATTGTTTTGGATTAAAAACTAGGGGTCCATTGAATACCAGCTGAATTAAATCAGTATGGTGCTGAGTGTAGATTGCCCCCTTGAGGACAGTTGCCAGTATAACAGAGACATGGAGAAGAAGATCGAGGCGCTGTGGGTTCTCCTACGCGTTGCTGTTTGAGCTGTTGGTTCTCCTGAAGGAGCTCGTCATGACTAGCTTCCCTAATATGAGTTCATCCATTATCATCAGAGGAGCTCGGGACCTTGTCGGTGAGAGTGGCTGTGGTTCACTTTGGGGGGGGCACTGGTCCTCACATGGAGCATGGCTTCCTGGCTCTGGAGGGGAAGACGTTTGCCACTTAATCTCCAGGATGAACTCATCATTCTGGCTTCCTGGCATGTAGTCAACTGTGCTTATCGTCAGAGAAGCTCAGGACCTCCATGTCGCTGAGGATGGCTGTGGTGCTTTTCAGGGCATCCCTGGTCTTATTTTGAGCATGACTTCTCAGCTCCAGCGTAGAATCCTCGACCCACCAGCACAGCTTCTTCACCTCACTGGCATAGACTTTCTGGCTTCCACCGCTGACCTTTTGGCCTTCCCCACACAGATCCATAAAGCAGACTGGTGTGAGTCCTTCTTGTGGGCTCGAGACCTCCAGTTGGCCTCATGGGAGGCGTTGTCATGGGCTCTAGGTTTTCATCTGGGCTCAGGCAGGACACTGCTGTGGGATCCAGGCCCTTGGCTGAATATTGTGGGTCTTCAGTGTTGTGGACAGATTTCCTGCACTTTCTTGTGTTTAACTCTGGGTGACATCATAAAACAATATTATAAGCTCTGCATCCTGATTGCAGTTGTTCTCCTCACACCCCCTGACTATGACAGGCATGTTGCCATCAGCCCCCCAGAACCTTCCCCGCACCTCAGTCACGTGTAACCCATCATGCTTGCCACTTGTGGAAGTCGTCCTGGAGTCCTCCTTTATGGGTCCCTGTAGTAGTACCATCCCCGCTGCCTCAGTATCCTGAATTAATTCACCTTTCTGTTCGTTTTGATTTGGGGGGGACAGAGCCAGAAGTGCCAGCTCTGGGGACTAAGGTGGCTGAGGACACAGGGTCATGTTTTTGTGATTTTTGTCTTTCTGTGAGATGGCACCCAGCCACAGCATTCCCTGTACCTTTCATAAAGACCCTCATGAAAAAGGACTTCCAGAACTGCCTCAGAAAGTGCCAAGAGTAATAGAATAAGTGTGCTCAAAGTGAGGAGAAATGGATCTTTTATTGTAAGAAATTTCTAAAATGTAAACATTCGCTGTGTGTTTTGATGGCGCCTTGCATGGAACAGCCAAGTAGACACGCTCACTGCCGCACAGGACAGAAACATGCCAGAAACCTCAGTCCCGTGACCTCTGGGCAGAAGACACTAGAAGAACCAGCCCGGGATGAAAGTCCAGGCAGCGACAAAGCTGTGTGGCAGAGAGCACCAGCAGGGGACCAAGCCGACTTAGGACCAGGACTTGAAAAACAGCCTCTGCTCAAGTTTGGACTTGAAAGTACAAAAGGGTCCCTGAGGAAGGGCAAGAAAGGACGGGGAGGAGCCAGTCCCCTCTGAGAAGAAGTTCAAAGGCTCCCGGGCGGGAGTGGACCGATAGAGACCTGGTGGACCGAGGAGCTCGCTGCTGACAGCGAGGCTGAGGCGGGCCGCTGGATCGCAGGCCTGGGGACGGTTAACGATGAAATGCAACAGGAGAAACGGGGTTAGGGAAATTCAGGGGAGCAGAATAGTGTCCCTGACGCGGACGGGGAAGGCCACCTGGAGCCCGGGACGCGCCCCTCGTGGCCGAGGCAGCGCGCACAGCGCAGGGTCCGCAGCCTCCGGCTGGCGCGCCCCGGAGACCCCGGGCTGCCCTGGTCACTCCGGCCACCCCCAGATGGAACTAGGAGGGGTGCGGTCCTTGGAGACGCCTGCTCGCGTGAGTCTGCACATCTGTGTTCGCGCGTGGCCGCCGAGCTCTGCCCGCTAAGTACGGATTCCCCACCGCGGTTTTACCCGGCGGCTCACGCACTGCTGCCTGAGGGGGCTCCGGGGCGGCTGGGCAGGCACTGGGGGTGAGGAATGGCCAGAGCCAGAGAGGCGGCGGGACGAGCAGACCGCGGCCTCCTGCTCCTTCCTCTGCTGGAGGTCTAGCTCGCAGCTCCAGCGGCGGCGTCCCAATCCTGTGCCCAGGCAGCAGCCCACGCCAGAGGAGATACAGGTGGCCCACCGAGCCTCCCTACGTCCCCGGGCCTTGTCCTCCCCCTTTGAGGCTTTCCTCACTTGACAGCCATGGCCATCGAACCCGCGCTGCTCAAATCCTCCGGCCTGCGGCTTGAGCAGTGGCCCCCATAGCTGTCTGGCCCCACAGTGTCCAAGGAACAGCACATCACAGGACGCTGAGCCTCGGGAGAGGCTGCAGGGGCAGCGGGGCCCCATGCACGCAAGGCCTCATTCAGAGTCAGACACCCTGGGGGCTGTGCTGCGGAGGCAGACCTTGAGCCCCGGGTGTAAATCCCAAGGCCAGCCTTGGGTGGGTTTCTTATCTTTCCACTCCCATGTCCATTTGCGTTCAATAGTCACTCCTACATCTCAGGTTTATTTAACAATTTTTTATTTTGCCATTCAATTTAATATCACATGTATTTCCAGTTGGACCTCTTCTGAGACATTTGTGAAACAGGAGAAAGGTGATAAAATGACTCAGGAAGTAACTCTTGCCTTTGGAGTGGGTCAGAATGGCAGATGTGCACAGGATCTCAGGGGGGCCTCCACTGCCTGGCTGCCCTGCTGTTCCTCTCCCCGCCCTGGCCAGGCCCCCATGCCCAGGGCGGAGGCACGTATGTGCAGGGGGAAATCTGGCTGGTGACTGAAATGCACCTTTGGATCCTGTCTCTACCCAGAGGGTCAGACCACAGCGCAGGTGCAGCCGCTCCCTGGCTCTCGCCCTGGCGCCCCCAAAGTGCAGCCCCACGGAAAGCTGCGTGTATCTGTGCAAGGTGCAGCATGGCAAGCATGGCCAGTGGGGAGGTGGTGGCCAGTGAGGACCTGCCATGCCAGGCCCACAGGCCGCCTTATGATGAGGGATGGCTCTGGGATCCCATTTGTTCATCTTTCATAGAGTAAACTGATGGAAAGGCACGGGAAGAGGGGGGTGGGCTGTCATCTCTCTGGGGCAAAGATAAACTAGAACATTGTAGTGGGGGAAGTGGCTGGACAAGACTGGTGCCCCAGGGCTGCCCACTGGTCTCCTCAAAAAAGCTGCTTGGGTCAAAACACTTCAAGAACCCACTGAGGAGAAGGGGCCAGGAATAAGACATCCACACCCAAGGGGCCAAAGAGAATGATTTCCTAGGGCCAAATGAAAACTGCCCTTAGGGAGAATCTGGTCCACATCCCAAGATGCTGGTGGGCTGGGCTGCCTTGGGAAAGCAGGAGGCGGCCCCGGCTGGGCACACGGGCCACTGGGCCACTCAGCAGTGGACGGTCCTGGGCCGTCCTCAGGGTGTGGATTAAGAGCCAGGGGACACTCAACACTTTCTTTTTAGACCTCGGGGCACTGGATTTAGAGGACAGCTCTCCACGACAGTGCTGAGGTCTAACTGCCCAGGTGAGAGGGAGAGCCCTACTTCCTGTGGGCGTGGTGCCGCTGGAAACGCCCTTGCTCCCGACTTCTAGGGCTCTTTGGGTTTGCACCAATGGAAAACAAACAGGCAGGAGACCTGAAAGGATCCCTGCCCTTGCCGGCAGCGCCCTGAAAGGGCGGTGAGCCTCTTGCAGAGCCCATGCCGCTGCCCAACTTGGCTGGTCCCGGGAGCCGGCTGCTCTGTGCAAAGGGGGTGGTGGAAGGGACTCTCAGAGCAGGTTTCCTTACCGAAGAGCTGGTCCTCCCCAACAAAGAAGGCAAGGCCTGGCTGGGAGGGCGCTGAAGATTCTGGCCCGGCCCTTTTTCAAAGGTGATCCTGGTCTTGGTGACCCCACTCAGCACTGCTCCTCCCATGCTAGGAGCCCCAGAAGTGGAGGTGCTCCTTCTGTCAGTACTGGCAGTTAACCTCGGCTCCCCACACTCCATAGGGGTCACTGATCCACCAAAGGCAAAAGGTCGGGGGGCCATGCTGCCAAACACAGGGCCCCCAACTCCACTCTGGTGGCTCTGGGCAGCGCCCTCAAAGCCAGTGACTGGATGGGTGTGGCAGAAGGCAAAACCTGCTGGGCTGTGAGTGGGCACCTGCACAGTAGAGGCCGAATGCACCCCGGTGCCAAGCGCCACCTGTGTGGCAAGACTGAGCCCTGGCCCCGGGGGCACTGGCCCAGGGGCTGGGGGTGCCACTGCCCAGTTTCCAGAAAGGAGAGGGTTACTGAAGCAGGGGGTGAGTGCCGGTTGGGGGATACCTAGTTTCTGCCCAGCTTCAGCCCCAAATGCAGGTTGGAGAGTGACTCCTGGGGATGCAGGGGTCAGATCTGAGATGCTAAGTGACAGTGTGTGGGGGTGGGTGCACACAAGGGCTGAGGCGGCCACAGGGCTCTGCGCGTCCCTGGAATCAGCAGCACTTCTACCAGAGGTGACCTGGGCAGCCCTGGGGACCTGGTTGCCAACAGCAACTCCGCATACAGCAGGGAGGGAAGGGGGCTGCCCAGCTGGGAAGCCCAAGCTGTTGCCTGGGGAGCAGCCAGTGGCCCCAGTATATTGCAGGAGCCTGAGGCCTGGGTCCACTCTGCTAGAATCCCGAGGCGGCTGGGCAGCAGGGGCTTGGCATGTGCGGGCTGGGCAGGGGGACAGAACTAGGCCGTCGGGGAAGTAAGCTGCGGCAGAAGCAGGCGGGGGACAGGGCTGCGGGGGGAAGAAGGCGGCCGCGGTGGACACAGGGCTGAGAGAGCCTGGGCAGATGGGTTTGAAGGCCGGGGTAAGGACGTGGGGAGCTGCGCAGAGGGAAGCCCCCAGAAGTGGTGCTGCCTCGGCCGAGACTCTGGGATCTGAGGAGTCTGCCTTCTGACCGCCGGGAAGAGACTCGGAAACTGGTTTTAACAGAGACTCAGAAGTCGCCGCGGAGGGTGCGGGTGCAGGAAGTTGGAGTCCTGGGCCACTGCTCATCGGGAACAGAGGGCACTGCGAGGAGGGGACAGCGGAGGGAGTGACAGGCGCGTCAGAGCCCAGAGCAGAGCCGGCATTCCGAAGGCTGGGGGCTGACAGGGCATTGCCAGCGCCCGGCGTGGCGCCCGGAGAGTGGGCGGGTGGGGCCTCTGACCGTTCGTGTCCCACGGATTCCGGGGGGCCTGGCGACGTCTTCTCTCGGATGCCCAGCTGAGGATCTGCTACGGTGGGTGCTGTCCCTGGGAAAGGTGGATTGCCGCACGGGTGGGGTCGAACGCCAGTCCAAACCTCGGGGGTGGAGTCTGTGGCGGCTTTGGTCGCGTCCTGTCCCGCTTCCTTCTCCACGGCTCGGTGCTCATCAGAGCCACGCTCGGGAGGTGTGGTCCCGAGCTGCGCGTCCCCAGGCCTGGTTGGCAGCGGCGGGGTCTTCGCTCTCTGCGGCCCAGGGCGCCGGGCTGTTACCGAGGCCGCGCGCTCAGGCCGGGGCGCACGGCCTTTCTCTCGCTTTTTCAGCGGCCACTCCGGGGGCTCGGGTGAAAACCTGGGGAGCCCTCTCTTGGCGGGCGCCGGGCCGAGCCGGGTGGAGCTGTAGGAACTGAAGATCGCGTTCCTTTTGCCGCTGAGTGGGGCCCCGGGGTGCTCGCAGGCCGCGGAGCGCGTGGGGGCGCGGGGAGCCGGACGGCTGGCACGGAGGGGCCCAGGTCTGGGCACAAAGGCGACGAGGGCGCCCCGCTTCGCCATGGGCGTGAAGGCTGACGGCCGGGCCGCGACGCACTCGCCGTGCAGGTCCGAGCCCTCAGAGTCTCGCGGGGCGAGCAGCTCGGGCTCCAAGGGCCCTGCACAGTGGATCACGGGCGCCGACGACGGGGCCGCGGGCCCGCTGGGCTCCCGGGGGCAGATCCGTACGGTCACGGGGCTGTGCACGGCCCCGAGGTGCCGCAAGGGCCAGATGGTGCGCCGCAGGAAGCCATCCCAGCCAGCCGAGGGCGGCGCGCGCGCGACGGGGTCGCGGCCCCGGCGCAGGCCGGGGCGCAGCCTGGCTTCGCTGGCCGCCGCGGCCCGGGATAAAGGAGCAGGACCAGGACCTGGACCCGGGCCGGGGCGCAGCCGGGGGGCGGCGTGGGCGCGGAGGACATGCTGGGCGCGCAGCACCTGCTGGACGCGGCCTACGCGGTACACGGGCTGGGCGCGAGCTCCCGGACCCTCGGGCGGGTCGCCGTGGCCGGGCGGGGACCCCGACGAGGCTGGCGGCCGGCCCAGCACACAGCCCATGGCGCGGCGAGAGCCTCGGCCGCTGCGCTCCCGGCGTCTGTGGAACCGGCGGGGGAACGGTTGGGAGCCGGGCGCGAGGCGGCACGGCGGGGCGCGCGACTCAGGACCCCGGCCTCGTCGGCGGCCCACCCCGCCCTCGCCGTCGCCGGAAGTGGACAAAGGACCGACGCCTCTGCTCCCTGGCTGGGCCTCCCTCTGCAGAACCTGCACTGCCTTGAGCCTTCGTCATCTCTCTTCTCTTACAAGAAAGAAAACGAGCCGTGCACTGGGTGAAAATGTAAGCAAAACACATTTTAAAATTCACGATACGTAAAAAAAAAAAAAAAAAAAAAGATTAATGAGCAGAAGATCTGAACAGAGATACCCAAACAGACCGAAAGCAGCATGCGCCCATGTGACAGGTTTTTCTTAGAAAGCGCCTCCCTGCGTTCTTTTCTGGAACCCGTCAACCCTTCGGCTTTTCGCGCAACGCTCCTTCAATCAGCCGCCAAGACGTCATTCCGCCCGCCCCTTGACTCCGCCCCTGTCAAATTCCAAATAAAGCGGTGGTTCCTTCCCAAAACTCCCAGAGGTGCCTGCCTGTGTTCCGCACTCCTCCCAGGCCCTCAATAAAGGATTTTTTCTCTTCTCTCCCTCTCTCTTTTCTCTCTCGCACTACGGAAAACCAAACAACTTATGCCATTAAGAAATCGCAAATGAAAACAGCCACAGGAAAACCAGCACAACAGGTGAATGCGTGAACTAACTGGGGCGCATCCACGCAACACTGATATTTATCACTAAACAGAAATGTGCTATCAAACCACGACAAGACGCAGGGATCTTAAATCCGTAAATGAACAAAAGTTAGAAAACTTAGACGAAACGAGCGAATTCCTATGAATATGTCAACTGAAACTGACTCAGGAAATAGACAACCTGAACAATAGGTAGGGGTGAACTAGTAGGGAAAAAAGCTACCTGCAACAAAAAATACAACCTAGGTGACTTTGTTGTCTAATTCTACTGAATATTCAAAGAACTTATCTCAGTTAACTTACATCAATTCCATGAGGCTGGTACCAGGATTCTTATACCAAAGCCAAACAACGCCAGCACGAGAAAAAAACTCCAGACCAAAATCTCCTGTGAATGTGGTTCCAAAACCCTCCACAAAATACTATCAAACAGCATCTAACAACATATAAAAAGAATTCGGTACTATGACTAAAGTGGGATTTAACCTCAGAAATGCAAGATTTTTTAACATTTGAAAACCAATCAATGTGATACAAAATGTCAACAAAGTAAAAAATATCACATGATTATCTCAATAAGTGAAGAAAAATATTTGACAAAATCAGTCTTTCATGATAAGAAAAACTCCATACATTAGAAATGTTAGGGAATTTTTTCAATCCTAATAAAACACACACACACACATACACACACACTCACAAACACACACACACACACACACACACACACACACACACACACACACTCCAGGCACTATCATACTTAGTGAAGGTCTTCATATGTCCCCTCCAACATCAGGAGCAATGCAGGAGGTCCACTGCTGGGCATCAGTCAGCATGGCCCTGGAGCTCTGAGTCAGAGTAAGCCAGCAAGAGAGAAAAATAAAAGGCATCTAGATTGGAAGGGAAAAAAAGTAGAACTGCTGCCTGTATTTGCAGATGTTCTGCTCTTATGCATAGAAAATTCTGAATAACCCATTAAAACTGTTAGAGCTACTAAACTACTTCAGCAAGGTTGCAGGACACAGATCAGAACACAGAAATCAACTGTACTTCCATGTACTCACAATATACAATCCACAGATGAAAATAAGAACATACTTCTGTTTATGATAACATCACAACCAGTAAAAATACTTAGGAGCTTTTTTAGCAAAACTCATACTCTGAAAAACTACAAATACTGAAGAAAGGAATTAAGGTAAATCTTAATGAATAGACTATTCTATGTTTACAAATCAGAGCAGTTATTTTAAGCCAGCAATGCTCCCAGCCTTGCTCTGTAGAGCCAGCGCAGTCCCTATCAGAATTGCAGCTGACTTCTTTGTAGAAAGTAAAAGCTGAATCTAAAATTTATGTGAAATTTCATGGGATCATTGAAGAACAAATGGGAGGACTCATAGTTCCTGGTTTCAAAGCTTACTAGGAAGCAATTTAAAAGAACATTGTACTGGCATAAGAATAAACATAAAGATGGATGGGGTATAATTGAGAGTTTCCAAACATCCCCAAGGGCCTCAGGCCACCTGAGTTTGCCAAGAGTTTTAAGATCTCGTGAAGGGAAACAAATCATCTTTTTAGTGATGGTGGTCGTCTCACACACAAAAAAATGAAGTTTGATGCTTACGTCATGTCAGAGGGAAAACAAAAACAAAAATGACAAAAAAAAAAAAAAAAAAAAACGGACTCAGTGATCCAAACAGCTAATCTAAGATTAAAACCACAGAGCTCCCAGAAGAGCAGATAGGGCTAAACCATCATTTGGATTCTTAGATGTGACATCTAAAATATGAGCAATAGAAGGAAACAAATAAATCGGACTTCATTAAAAAAAAACCCTTTTGTGCTCAAAGGACACTATCAACATGACAATGTATATGAGATCAGATTTTCAAATTTTATATCTGACAAGGAATTTGTGCCTGAAATATGTAAATATTTGCAATTCTGAGTGCTCCCATCCAGGAAGAGAAGGGATTGATGTACACAGCATTCCACAGCACCTGCTGCGCCCAACCTTCAACAGAGGCCCAGGGATTTCCAGCCAAGGTGGAACATCTTAATCACACCACATACCACATGGGATTATTAGCTGTCCTGAGGGCCGAACACACATATTCCACCACAGGAGTCACAGCCAGAAAACCTGGAGATCCCGAGGCAGACAGTGGTGTGACACTGTTTGATCCTTTGAGCAAAATGTTGGCACTGTCCTGGGAGAAGCATGCTGTGTGTCTGGCAGATGCTGAGGAACCAGAGACAGGGAGAGTCTGCTGGCCTGGGTGAGAAGGAAGCTGTGGATCCAGCAAGATGCCTCTTTGGTTCTGGGCAGAGACGCCAGATTAGTCTTTTTTTTTTTTTTTTTTTTTTTATTTAAGAGGAAAAAGAGAAAAACACAAAACAAGACAAAGCAGTGTAAGGTTACACATAATACAGAACTACAAAAAAAAAAAATAAACATAACAGTAAGAAATCACCTGTTAATAGATTACATAATATCATCTTGGAAATAGTTGCTCAAATCACAGTATCAAAGAATACAAAGTAGACATTCAAACGGAGAGACTGCAAACAGCTGTGTTCAATGATCCAAAAACATTAATATAGTCAGCTATTTAACATCCCTAAACACACTTGTTGTTATATCCGTTAGAGCTCTTTTTTTTTTTCCCTCCCTCTCTTTTTTATAACAAAATTTACACATTTTGGATTTTATTACTCCTCAGTTCTCATTACTCTCTTGGGGGGGAGATAATAAAGTCAAATATGGCAAAACAAAGCTGTAAGTCCAAACCAAGGATAGACATAGCACATGATGTAGAACAGAGTACAAGGTCATCAACAATGGTTATCAACATTGTCTCTTGTTTCCTTAAAAGGAATTGTCTATCTCATTAGATATTATAAAGTTGGACAAAACAGTGGAGAACAAGACCAATAAAACTTAGGCATTGTGAACATTGCAGGACTTCCAAAGGAGACAATAGTCAAACCAGAATGGGCATCTTTGTGAATCTTATTGCCTTCAAATTAGTTGCCTATACCTTCAAACTTGCTACTGTCGCACAGAATGGAACAGAGTCTAATCAGTCAAAACAAGATCTTGGGAGTATTACAGGACTTCAAAACAAGTTAATAGGAGATCAAAAAGAGTTACTACTATATATCCTAATTTTTTAAGTTTTTCCCTTAATTAAAATAAACATAAGAAATAGCTAAATAATTTTTTTTAAAGAATAGTAGTTACCATAGTGTCTGTCTTTTTCCTTAAAATATTTGGATAAAACTTCATATACTATAGCTTCAAATATTTCCATATCAAAAAGCCCAGAGTAAAGCCTTTCTAATTAATAAGTGAAAATTTTATAAGGCTTCAAGGCCACATAATGGGGAATCATGATTATCACATATTTTTATATATTTGAATCATTACTTACATTAGGGAAACTATTCGGTATTCATACATGCGAGATTGATTTATTTCACTTATGAGTATGGTCTCAAGCTGCGCCCATTTATTGATAAATATCTCAATGCAATCCTTCTTTATAGCTGAATAATACTCCATTGTATAGAAATACCACAACTTTTTTATCCATTCCTCAGTTGATGGACACTTGGGTTGTTTCCAAGATCTGGCGATTACAAATTGTGCTGCTATAAACATAGGTGCACATATATCCCTGTGGTATGATGCTTTCAGTTCTTCTGGGAATATGCCTAGAAGTGGAATAGCTGGAATAAATGGGATTTCCAATCCCAACTTTTTGAGAAACCTCCAGACAGATCTCCACAAAGGCTGTACCAGTCTACACTCCCACCAACAGTGCAGGAGAGTTCCTTTTTCCCCACAGCCTCTCCAGCATTTGTTGTTGTTGGTTTTCTTGATCCTGGCCATTCTTTCAGGAGTGAGATGGTATCTCAGTGTGGTTTTAATTTGTATTTCTCTAATGGCCAATGATGATGAGCATTTTTTCATGTATTTATTTGCCATTTGCATTTCTTCATCTGAGAATTGCGTATTCATCTCAGATGCCCATTTTTGGATTGGATCTTTGAATTTTGAAGGTCTGAGTTTTTTTAATTCTTTATATGTTTTAGACAAGAGGCCCTTGTCTGAGAGAGAGTTCACTAAAATCTTTTCCCAGTTTGTGGGTTTTCTTTTCACTATGCTGGAGATTTCTTTTGACATGCAAAAACTTTTTAATAAGAAGAGGTCCCAGTTATTGATTCTGGGAAGTATTTCCCGTGCAGTTTGAGTCC